AAGTAGTATAGTATATATATATATATATATATATATATATATACAGAATTAGGCATTGGAGGGAGTGATTCAGTTTTTACATATACTTCAATATATTTTGTTTTTACTGTATTATGTACACTATATCACAATAAGTACAAAGAAAATTTATTTCATAAAAATTTCAGTATATCAAATTATTCTTTGTGCACTAAGAATCTGGTATAGCAAGTGCATTATTAAATATTTTTTGTATATATACTAGCATAAAGTACTATACAGTCCATGATAACAGTGTAAAATTGTTGAGATGTTTATCATGGGCTGTAAAAATAAAAACAAGTTTAGTACCTATTACATAGCTATGTGAACACTTCCACATAATATTATGGATCAAATATTATTTACAACAGTAATCAATCTGTTTTAAAGATTAAAGAGTTTGATAAAATGGACTAGCAAATTTCTACAAAATTTTTGAATATTAACAAAAAATATGTACTAGTATTTTTTTTACATAAAAATAACAGCTCAGCATGTACTTTTTAAAATCTGAATCAAGCCCTACTATTGTGTTTAATCTGTCTTTGCATTCAACAAAATGTGATCCGAGTTAAAACTTTACAAATAAAATATTACAGTAAAATCCATGTGTCATCATACACACAACATTACAATTGGTAAATATGTACTATTTCACCATGTTATACTCGTATATATTCAATTATTGATTTACTTAACTTAGTTACTTTTACGATAATTAAATCTGATATATAAACACATTACCTAGTCTGAAAAAATTCAAAAAGCAGAAATGAAACGAAAATACTGATTAACAGCAGTACTATGTATAGTGATACACACTGTATTGACCCACATTTTGGTATATGGTAGCTATTTTCAAGAAATATTTTGCACAATTATTTTACAACAATGCCAGTTGTAAATGTCTTTCTGAATATATTGCTTATTAAACTTTTACACACACATAACTATATAATAGTTTCTCATAAATTTCACAACATTACAATTTTACCATTTATGCCAACTGCACGTTTAATTTTAAAAATACTGAAGTGATTAGGACATGTGAGAGCTGTGAAAATCTATTCTGTGGACAATCAGATAACTTGAAACACTGCAACCCAAGAAAGGAGTGGTTTATTAACCCTATTAAACTGCACGTTTAATTTTAAAAAATACTGAAGTGATTAGGACATGTGAGAGCTGTGAAAATCTATTCTGTGGACAATCAGATAACTTGAAACACTGCAACCCAAGAAAGGAGTGGTTTATTAACCCTATCGTGACAAGCATCCTTTACTGCACGTCATGAGGTTTTTAGTGACTTACATTCAAAATTTTATTAATCTACTTTTTTGTTTATGTTATACCAATTAGTATAGCATAAAATTGTAGTTAATAATACATATTTCAATAATATACAAGTTTTGAGTTTTAAATGTCTTGATACGAGTGTTGTCAAATGAGAAGTAATAGTTTGATAGAATCGAATAGAGGGAGTCACATGCGTCAGGAGAATGTATCGCACTCTTACTGGTGGAAGATTGTTACATGATGATTTGCATTTGAATCAGTTGATTACAAGGTACATAGGAGCTCAAGGCTTGTGGAATGCAAAAAATTTTTTTTGCATAGAGAGGGCAGCACTGAATGAGAATACCTGTTTATGTGAGCGGTTGTAATTTACTGCATTTACCTTTAGGACAGTTAAGGTTATAATAGGTAAAATAATTATAAGACTATAATAAAGATGTTTCACGAGACATGCACACGAGCAGCTCGTTGGTAATGTAATTCAATAGCGTAACATGTTTTCAATGTTCCCCATGTGATTTACAACTTATAATGGTGCAAATAGTGGTTAAACACTGTTCAAAGGGCAATAAAACTTAATTATAAATAGAATATACCATTATGAGTTTAAAACTACTTAGGATAAATGAATGTAGTTTCATGTTACAATTTGAAGTTATTCTAAAAAGAAAAAAAGGGTAACATAGATTTATTTCCATTTCTTTTTGGTGGTTACGTGGTCAGTCAAATTGACCAATGTTGTATAGAGTTAGGGTAGAGAAAATAACACAAGAAATATAAAGTTTTACAGAAAACAAACGTTTGAAATGCGTTTAGGATGTTTTAGAGATTACACAAATTAAATTTGAGATTTTTGAGATGAAGGTATTTTTAATCTTAATATGAAAATCACTTTGCACACAGGCTATTCAAAACAAATACCTAATATATTCATGGACAAATCTAATTTTTAGTTTATTCAAACTATTTCACAAAAAAATTATTTTTTTGTATGTGAAAGATTTATAATGTTTACTGAAAGCCAAATTTTGTGAAGATACACATACCATATTAAAAGGTAATAGTATCAAATCTATAAAGACTTTATACGAGTACAGTACAAAGAGGTCACGTGGTCAGTCAAATTGACCGAGCCAGTACTAAGAGAGTTAAGGTGGGACTGAATATGTTCCCAATAATCTGTCTTTCAAAATAGCTGGAAAAAATCTTGTCTTGATACAACAGATTTACAGCTAAGGAAGGGTCTGTTGATAAATAGTCCATTGAATATATAATAAACTGCCTCAATGACTTGCCTGTCTTCAGGTTTCTCCACGTTTCTCAAACCTATAACCTGCTGGTTGTCTCCATTTCCTGAAGAAAGCAACAAGTTTGGTGTTTCACTCTTTTCCAGAACACATATACTACTCTCTGGATTGATGATGGCTGGGGATTTGTTTCCCTCTTCTTCCCTAGTAATGCTTCTAGTTTTATCACTTGATTCACTCACTAATTCTTTCTGAACAAACTTGGATGAACTTATCTTCAGAATTTCTTTGGAAGGTTTAGGGTCCTTGGCTTTTCTTGAAAGACTATATGACTCCTTCTGCCATTCTTCTAAAAGTTGCTTAGATACATCTGGAGGGCCAATGCCACAATCTCGAACAGCCCGAAGGAGAAGATTAAATGCATGAACTTCAGGCAGAGTTGTAGAAAATTTCATGAATCGGAACACCTGAAAAAGAAAAAAAAAGAAAATCAATACCTACTTAAAGTCTAGTAAATAAAAAGAAAAATACCTTAGAAATATATAACTTCATATGCATATTCATTTAATTAACCACAAGTGTATGACATTCTTAAATGTACACATACTACAACATTTTGAAAAGTATAAGGGAATCTTGATGCTGCAAAAAATTATTTGTAAATGTTACTTCAGCAAATATTTAACATAAAAACTATCAAAACATTAATATACACAAAATGTTGCTGCTCTACAGGATTGTTAACCCCATTAAATTGCATTTAATTTAAGCATATCTTTTATATTATCGAAGCAACAAAAAATCTAAGTTATGTTACCTTTCCATAAATATATTCTTTTTTTGAATGATGTCTTTCAACATATTTTATTTTGTACATGTGAGATCAGATTGTTATTACAGTATTCTTACGTAAGGATCTAAAATTTCACCAGAATATCATCCAAAATGAAGCTACTTTGCAAAAAATATAAATGCATATTTTTATTGTTTGTGAAAATGTAAAGATATCTACAAAGCAGATAGAGTCAAGATATTATGTGCCTAATACCCTGACTCTGTCTGCTTTCTAATAGGAGTTTTTATGGTTTTGTTATTAAGCACAAAGCTACATAATGGGCTATCTGAGCTGTGCCCAACACAAGTATTGAAACCAAATTTTTTATTGTTATAAATCCTCAGACTTATTAAGGAGATCAGATTGTTATTACAGTATTCTTACGTAAGGATCTAAAATTTCACCAGAATATCATCCAAAATGAAGCTACTTTGCAAAAAATATAAATGCATATTTTTATTGTTTGTGAAAATGTAAAGATATTTACAAAGCAGATAGAGTCAAGATATTATGTGCCTAATACCCTGACTCTGTCTGCTTTCTAAGAGGAGCTTTTATGGTCTTGTTATTAAGCACAAAGCTACATAATGGGCTATCTGAGCTGTGCCCAGCACAAGTACTGAAACCAAATTTTTTATTGTTATAAATCCTCAGACTTATTAAGGAGCCAATGGAGAAGCCATTAGAGAAGTACAATACTCTGTGGGAATTTGAAAGATGGCCCTTTTTCATATCAGGAGGTAGGGTTGGAAGATTGGGTGGATAATGTTGGAGGAAATACAATAATTTGATTGTTTTTGAAAGTGACCCTTTCCCAGAAATGTGTTTTATATTAAAATAGCTTAAAATGATACTTCAAAGAATCTCACTTCTCCTCACTTCTTTTATTTAAAAAACCCCATCAAAACTGACATAGTTCTGACATACTTACTTGAAGGATCATTTTTACAAATAATAATATAGCAATTGTTAAAAAAACCTCAAAAATAGCCTGGAGTCAATGTTTCTTATCAATTTGGTAATTGGCAAAAAGAACCGCTCAGAAAGTAGCTGGAATCAGCTATGGATTCCAGCACATTTTATGCACAAGTGGGAGAGGAAAGAACATTATTATCCTAAAGAGCTTATATGCTGAAGAGTTTTACAGAATAAATTAGTCACTACCTGAATGGCATGAGTAAAACCAGCTTCTTTATTTGTTATACAAGCTTGTAATAGGAAATTAAAGGTCTCTGCAGTAACAACATGTCCATTTTCAGTCATTTCATCTGCTAACTAAATCAGATAAAGAAAAAAAAAAAAGATGAAACATTTTTACATAAACAAGTACAATGTACTGGAAGGATACATATATTAAGAATATTCATTTCCTGGAAGCAACATATAATACATTTATAACTATGCTTAAAAAACACTAGATCTCTATTCATATCATTTTAATTAAACAGATAAATCTTTACAGTTATGCATGAAGTTACTACTTTTCATTACTTTATTTTATTATATATTTATATGACAACTGATCTTACAAGTGTTTCAGTACCTTATTAATTATCTGAAAGCTGAAACTGGTAACAAATAAGGTCCAAAATTATAAAATAGGATATAAAAAAATAAGTTAACCTGGTATTATCAGGACAAAACAAATGCATCGTGGTACAAAATTTCAAGCTCACATAACAGTACTCTAGAAGGTGACATATATGTGGCCATGGTAATGGGAGAGTTACAGAAACTAAATACTCATCATACAAACATTTACTCAAGTACAGTTTGTAGATATACTAAACTTAAATATTATTTTACATTGCTCAGAACCCATGTGTTTCAAGTTAAATTATTTAAATATGTTTTCACACTACAGATAATAATTAACTTAAAAACTCTTAACAAGGAGTTTTGTCCCAACAATCTATTCCAACTCCTCAGCTCAAGTTTCTATGGTGTTATTTCAAAAGAACAAATTTATAACTACATTATGCTTTTTGTCTTCAAAATAAAACCATTTGCTGTTTAAATACAAATGTATATTTAACAAGATACCATTTGAAACATTTTAGTTCTAGAAGAATGGTTTTAACTGGTATTTTAGATAATAAATATACCCATGCAATTCATTAAAGTACTTAAAACATAAGATTCAGAAACAAACACTGCACAAGGTTCAGATAAAATTGCTATACTTAAAATTCATGTAGTGCTGTAATCATAGTAAATTTACTAAACAATAATTATGCCTTTAAATAAGATGAAATTGTCAACAGAAACTTCAAACAAAAGCCTACTGAAAAAGCTGTCTCCAGATCTCCACATCGTCCAAATGCCTTGATCATAGAATGGAAAGTGATATTGCTAGGTTGCCACCCTTTTTCCATTATTTGTTCTCGTAAATGAATAGCCTTTTGTAGACCATAATTAAGGAAAGGTGTTTCAGCACAGGCATTAAATAAACCAGTTAGAGTTGCAGGTGATGGTGTCATACCACGATCTCTCATCTGCAGAAAGTAATTAATGTTAACTTATAAATCACATCTACAAATTTATATATATATATACACACACACACACACACACATTAGAGTAATCCTTACTTTTGAAGTTTAGATTTACAACACTCTCACTCCCTCATTTTGTTCCAATATATAAATAAGTAATTCACACCAAATTTTATAATTCTGAAGAAAATGTAGGAGCTAATCCTTGTAGCTTGTAGCTAGCATTATATCTGCATATTCTGAATATTTTAGAATGTTCCAGAATATTCTAAATATTTGAAAGTTAATTTCTAGCACTGTAAAGGCTCAAGCGTCTGTTATGACACATTTGCTGGAAGAATAGTGAGTCACTGATTGTGTACAGGCAATTTGTTTTGACACAACAGCAAGCAGCATTATTTTACCTGCAAATAATGACCACTCTAACTTAGATACTAACTGAAAATATGGAGAAAATCTAGACTTCTGACAAAATCGTAGTTAAGAAATAGTTAAATAACAACAATATTAGTATTGTAAATAATATTCAATAAAAATATTTAAGAGTACATTATTATAGGCTTTCCAGGCACATAAAAAAAGAAGGATAAATCTATGTCTATTTGAATGAAAAATTTTGTGGTATTTCCTAACAATATACTAGGGAAAATTAGGACAAATGATTAGTGCAACAAGGTGACTGACACATGTATAAAACAATAAATTGATTACCATTAATAGGAAATTAGGGACCTAATTAAACCAAGTAATAACAATGATATTTAACATGTTAACTGTCATCAAAGTTCCTAACTAAAGTAATTATTGAAAATACTTCTAGTATTAGTCTATTTTCAACAACCCTACCTGTATTATCAACCAATCTATTCACCCCATGTCTACCAAAATCCATGACAATTTCTTAAAGTATAGTTTGCATAATTTCTAACAAAATCATTTGCTTTCTCAAACACCAGTTCCAAAATTGCTTATATGAATCTCATCTCCAACCACCCCTCCCAACAATAAAACTTTTCTCACGAATATTTCCAGTCTACCTGTTGATCCAGATATATTCATGGTAATCTGTCTTTGACCTTTGTACCCTGCTTAATATTTCTTGCCTGCATTTAATGCAAGAACATTGAAAAGAGGTACATAATTCTTATCTTTATAGTTCTGAAGGAAGTGATTGATTATTAACTTTTCAGATTGGCCATTAGCTTAAAAATGCACAATAAATAACTTTCCTTAGCTTCTGCTAATAAACTATTTACTCTCTATAGCTTCAGCTTTATCAACTGATAAGCAAATTCTAGTTACCTTTCTATGCATCCCACCAAAAACAAACCTTTTAGTACTTAATTTGGGAATCTTCTACTATGAACACTTTGTGATCTTTACTTTCCCCACTTTCACTGACAGCTAGAGATTCAACTCTGTTTAAAATATTGTGATAATACAATTTTCTTCTCATAGGATTTAATCCAGAACCTTTTGCACACCAGGTTAGTTGCTGCTAGTAAGAAACTTTTATTTTTTTCTTTAAATACTCAACTACTACATTGTTCACTTCTGAGAACCAAGGCTTGTCCTCAGGCATTATCTTAGGGTCATGGAACAATTAGTATCTGGGTGCCAATTTCCAGTGGTAATTTCATTTTTGTATCAAATAGGAGCCGAAACAAACACAGAACCACTTCACACCAGGTGAATACTTTACCTTCTAGTTCTAAAGGGTTAACCCACTACCACTTACTAACACGCAGTGGTTAGATACCCGGCAACCAGGAATGATCTTTCAAATACTAAATACCAGGCAGTCCAAAAATGTGAATATTAATGAGGTACAACAACAATAATAACGATGATAATAATGCTAATAAAAAATTCCAAGAAAATTATATTAGCACAAATTATATATACAAATACATAAATTATTATATTGGAAGCTTATCAATATTCATGATCATGAAATTATGGACTCTCGGGTATCTATTTCGAAAATTGTTCCTGGCAGCTTATAGCACACACACACACACTGATCAACACTAAACAAGAATGATGATCGATATTTATTTTTCCAGAGCAAACTTTTTATTCAAATCATTTTATCAAGCTAAATGAGAAATCAATCACGTAATTTACTATTACTAATTCTCTAAGTCAAGTGAGAGGTGACTGTAGCTCATCAATATTCAATTTTTGGACTGTTTGGTATTTATTATTTGAAAGATCATTCCTGGCTGTCAGTATCAAGCCACTGTGTTACTAGTAAGGAACTTTAACAATTCATGTGCTTGACTTAGACCTGCTTCCTTGGCCCCAGATTTTCTTCCACCTAGCACCATAGTAAACACGTTTCCCCTCTTCTTTTTCAAAAATAATCTCGACTTTGAGATTTTTTTTTCACTTCTATTAATTCATTTCCCAACCTACTTCTGTCATTCTGAAATTTTTCTCCAAAAAAAAAGCAAATTTTACAAACATAATACATGGTGTTGCTCTAAAATATGGAAAACTACAGCTTAATTTCTATTTATTTAAATAACCCAATCTTTACAATTATCAAATCTATAAACATTACACTATCAATCCCTTTACTATTAAATAATAACAACAAGAAAATCAAAAATTTAAAACAGGGAAAAAATTAGCAGGTACAAAACAAAAAATATACATAAAAAGCCAATTTATTTTATTACAATGAATAAATTAAAAAAAAAGCATTTAAGAACTATACCTAAACTGAAAACAAATTAAAAAATAGTTTATAACTGAAAAGTAAAGTAATTAAATTTGAACTAGGCATTTAGAAAGAAGTAACAATTAGCTTTCAGCTCTTTTTAATGAAATAGGATGACTGTAGCTGACTCATTTTTATAAAGTGCAAAGAGAAAGCTATACACTACACAAATATGGTGTTTGCATTTATTGATAATAATCATACAAACATGTTTGAATAACTTGAAAGCCATCTTTGTATATCCTACTCTTCCACATGCACCAATCAACAATGTATAAATGTATTTCACTGGCTTGACACGGTCTTCTTTTATCATTTGGTTGTACAGCTGGAGAGCATCTTTCAGCTTTAAAAAACAAAAAGGAAGACTTAATTAATTCAGGTATGTTACCAGACATGTACAAGTACTGTATTAAGCATCTATTGTTATTATTATATATATACTTGCAAAACATTTAGTGTTTGTTTTAAAAACAGAGATATTATCAAACCCAAAAACTAGACAACACTCTAGTAATTACAAACAGAACCTGAGTATGTCTTTTATGTTGAGTATAAAAACAGAAATGCCGTAACAACAAAGTTCTTACCTTCCGTTCTTTAATGAGTTCCTTCATTTTGTCCCCATACTCTTTTGGTGACATTTTTTTTCCATAGCTGATAAAGACATCATCATCATCAGGTTCATCTGTGTGAAGGTCTGATTCTGTTTGATATTTAATAACTGATTCAGCATCTGCTACAGTTCCAAATACATCACTGTCAGTCAACTCAGTCTCAGAGTTTTTATCAGAGACAGAAATTTTGAATGAATCTGTTACATCCTGTGGTTTACCTTTTCTCCCCTTTAGTTGAACTTTAGAAGATGGATTTTTACCCTTACTATTTAAGTTTTTCTCCAAGTCCTGATCAAGGGTGCCAAAAGTATCAGAATTTGGTTTTAACCTGCCCAGGATGTCTGATGCACATGTACTGTACTGCAGCTTGTTTTGCTGGAGTGCATAATTTTCATTTTCTTTCTTGAGAACAAAGCTGCTTCTAAGCAGGTTTATACTGATGAATCTTGTATTACTTCGTTTACAAATGACACACATTTGATAAAATATGTGATATTTTTTCAACATTCTGTATAACCTAATGATCAGACTCTTACGTACCACGAAAAACAAAATTTTCTTCTTTTAAGGCAAGGGTTAGTGTCATTTTTGTGTAACACCTATACATCGAAACCTGAAAATAAAAACCATGGAGACTAAAAAACAATCAACAAGACAACAATTTAGAAAAACAACTGATTATAATCTCTCTGTATGTATATATATTTACAAACTTGTTTTTACAACTACTCTTGGGGTCCACATATTACACTACTTTGAGTAATTACTGTTTTTGCATATTATAACACTCAATGTAAGTAACTTAAACTGACCAAAGTATTGGTTGCAATTACTTATTTTCTACATAAACTACATTTGGAGCCCCTGCAGTAATTAGTTGAATTAATTGCAATATTGATGGTATTTGTGTTTACATTTTTTTGTGGCTTATATGTTATAAGAGACACTACAATGGACACATATTCAACTTGGTGCATAAATGGTTTTGAAAAATGTGTTTAAAATCCAGTCTGCAAGTTAGGGAGACATGTTTGGTGGGTTGATTTGGTACTCTTTTTTCTTTTTTAATTCTGAAGAGATTTGAACTCCTTACAATATCTGGAATTTGAATTGCCCACAAGCATGGATGAATTTGCACATTTCCAGGCTATAAGGGAGTAAAACCCATACCCCAATCCAAAATCCCATATATAAAACACATTGTGTAATACAAAGTCTGATTCTTCAGCTCTATGAAGTCATTCTGCAATTTTCATAGGTTCTGTTAGTAGAGATGACCAAAAAGGGCCCAGTGAATCATGCTTGTTGCTGTAAGATGGCAAAGATGAACATTTCTACTATTTTGTGTAAGAGGAACACTTTGCATCTTCATGGCTGAACACTAATGAGGCGCAAATGCTTTTTGCAGGAAAGTAGTTTTCCAATGTTACAGATTAAGCCCTTGACTATAGTATATTTTTTGGATTCTAGCTTGAATGATGAAATCTTGACATCCCATAATCCTCCAAATTCAATCTCACCGACTTGCAGTCTGGGTATTAAAATGCCAATGTATATGGGCCATATTAGTAATTAATTATATGTTTAAGCTAAAAGTATACTTTACGTGAATGTGTAGTGTAATTGTTTGTATACACAGTTTTATTTGCTTGTGTTTCATTGTTCATAACTGTTATTGTTAATCATAACTTAGAAAAATGATAAGGCCTCAATCAGTCAATCCTACCAAACCACAGACTAAAAAAAAAAAAAAAAAAAAAAACCCTAGATTATTTATAAAATTTTCAAAAATGTTTGATTTCTCAAACTTTGTGAATTTGAGCTTTCTTATATAATATTAGTAACCTTTCAGTCTTACTCTTAGTAAATACACAAACATATCAAATAAACAATACGTATACTTTTTTATTTGCGACGACAGTGTCTGCAAATGCAAGGGTACCGGGTAGTGTAGCATAACCAAATTCTGTATTTTGCTGCTATACGAAGTCACACATCATAACAAACAAGTAATATAATGTTACCTAATCAGGCAACTAAGTCTACACTAATTACAATTCAATTCACTCGGAATAGACAATATCATCTCCCTAGAAAGTAGATATGATAACTTGACAGAAGCTTTCTGTTGATTATGATTTGATGCGAATTGCAATTATCACGTCGAAAAAGTAGGCTTGATGTTTGACTATCGCTGATAGTGATACTGGTAATGGTTTACAAGAAACCTGGAAAAATTGGAGAAAAATCATATTTCTATTATTGTTTTTAAGAATAAATACTTACAAATATGGAAACAGTAATATTGTTAAATTATTCAGCTTACTTTAACTAATAAGACACGAATCTTTAGGAACAATGAGTTACTTAATCATAATCAAGTTTGAAACAGCAAGCTCTTCGACTTCAAGTCTACATCTCATGTGAGGGCGCTTTAATTTGTCTAAACTTTTAACATGCTTATTTCGTTTTTTATTGACTTATTAGAATCATTATTCATTGATATAAAGAAAAACATTAACAATACAGGAGTACAATAAGCTATATAATTTCCGTAAAATTTATTTTTCCTAGTTCTATATTGAGGTATGCAATAATTATATTTATTTTCGAAAAAAAAACTCAATAGAGGGCGCGAGTTCGCTTGACGATAACAAGTGAAGCCTGAAATACAAACGAGAATCGGCGAAATAGTTTAAATAGTGACAAGTTGAGCATACGATGCTTTGTTACTCATACCGTCAGCAGATATAGTGCCTAATCTTAGTTGAGGAGGACGCCCGTAAATTCTAGCTTCGTTACCACTGGTGGAGGGTAAATATTTCATTGGTGTGTGTCGTAATGATCACTGTGTGAGTGGTAGTAGTTCAATACAGTCTAGAAAATGTATGTATTCTGTTCAGTTTCTACTCGGTTACTCAACTGATTGTCTTATAATCAATCATAACTTAGTTGCTTTTTATTGAGCAATTTTATGTCAGATGTTGGATTAATTATAAAGTTCATCTAATAAGGATATATGACTTCAACATATAAACGAGTTCTTAAATTATAGAGTTAATTTGTGTTAGTTGTTACTTCACCTTCACTTATTGAGATTGTACACGTGCTCACGATCTGCCTACATGCCAATAAAATTTCGTAGCTCAAGTAGCGGGTTGCGCCTAGCCCCGTCCGAAATTCATTTCATAAAAGATTCTACAAATGGGTTACTGACACCAGAACAGAGTTTTATAGAAGATCTGAGCATAAAAATTCAAGAAAACAAAGACAAAATGCCAAAAATTCAAGTAGTTCAGAAAGATGGATCTTGGTTTGCCCTAAACAATAGTTATCTCCATGTCTTCCGTGAACTAGAGCGCCAAGGAAAGTGCCCGAAAATAAATGTAGAAATGGTACCATTGAGTAAAGTCCCAGAATATGTCCAGAAGCAAATGATTGTGGATGAAAGCGAAATCCATACATCAGTAAATAAAACGCCTGTGAGAAATCTGATGACTGAAAGCACAGCAGGGGCAGAAGGATCTGATTGGGAAATAGGTGAGTTAATTCACATTTGACTCATGAGCTACATCACTCAGTACTGTGTTTTATTGAATGGCCTCTAAGATATTCAAAAACAAATATTGTTTTAATTAATGTGTTTCGCGATCATGAATTCATAATTAATGTGTGTAAAAGATTGTGCAAAATTGCCCGAACCTATATTTGTAATATAATACCACTGAAACGTGCTAACGTTGAATGTGTATAATTTGAAACTAAAGTATGAAGATCATATTTTACTATTAATCATACTCTTTTAAGGAAAAACAAACAACAACAATAAGTTCTTTACTAATAGTTGCACTATACTTGTCAAAGCCATTATAGTATTTTCATATCAGTTCAATTTAATACATCTCTACTGTACTAAAAGCTAGGATGTAAAATGTATTACAATGCCAAGTTTGAAATGGATTTCAAAACATTTTATTCTCTATCGTATGCCTGACGGGTTCTGAATTTTGAAAGTAGTGGTTGCAGTCGTAGGTATATGTATTTGGTATTTTGTTTGTGTAAATTTAGATGTACAAATTCATATATTAAAGCTACCCCCCTCTCTCTCTCTCTCTCTCTCTCTCTC